CCGTCCGGCTTCAACTTCCGGTCGATGGATTACCCCCTTGGTTTGATTGCCGTCTGTATGTTTTCGTCATGGCCGAACCAACAGCTACAAGGAAGAAGGCAAAGGTTTTGTCAGAGGACACTAAAAAAAAGTGTCCAGGCATAGTGACAAATGAAAAGCCAGGACGAGGATCACCATTGGTCCAGCGTTCGCTCGCTGGCGTGAGCTACAGGAGGAGGATGGGTGCCCGACCGATGCTAACGCTTGCCTGCACACAAATGCCGTTTCCAAGGTGACACAGATAAATCAAATAAGCAGTGTAGTATTTTCTGGTATTCCGGCCACAGCCGATGGTGTTATGAGTGTAATAAAATGCCCACAGCCCATTGTTCATTTCTACACACAAACACAGCCCGCCACAGTGCAGGGCTCGCACAAATAAAATCGACTCATGTCAAATGTACATTAAATGTAGTGAACGTTCCCACGACTCAGTGCCCACAAACACTACACACAACATGTCCCACGGTTTCTGTAAAACGAAACCAACACACATAAGTTACAGTCAGCTCAGGCCGACGGTGATTTTAGTGCAGTAAATGTGCCCGGCCCGCCGTCCCGCGCCCACATTCACTCACAGACATGTTAGCACTAAGCCGCTCGCTCTCTCTCAGCAGACTGCTATAAGGGAATCGAGCGCGGCCAGGCTGCCCGCCTCAAACACTGCAAGCACACACAATCTAAAGACACGGGAAGCTGACCCACTGTCTATGGGCGGACCGGTTGACTTTTTGTTGACTTTTGCGACAGTGCTGCGGAGCTTGTGGCCTCTAGGGACGCTAGACGTGAAAGTTACAGGTCGAGCGCCACTAGTGGCCAAAAGTTCCGCAGTGTGCCTTTAACTTTTAAATGCATTATTATATTCAAATTCCAAACACATGAGGAGAGTCTCCGCATGAAAGACCCATGACTGGCAGATGAACGTGCGACAACAATTCTCTCCGAAATGGTAAGAAGTTATATTAGATTGAATGGAGGATTTTAACTGTGACGAGATGATTGACAGGGCAGTTTACGGTGATAGGATGCACGCGACAGATCTGTCCGTTAAAGATGACGAAGTAGTATGTCCCAAAGCTTGCCTACTCTTTTGCTACACACTCAAAAGTATGTACTTTTTCTTCACAAAAAGAGTACATACTTTTAGGGCGTAGTATAAGTAGGCGAATTGGGACGCAGCACAGGACTCGAGTACTCCATCACTGGACAATAGTGTGTTAATTCTCTGGATTTCCTGGAACATCAAATGATTTAATAATTAATTAATTAATACAGTTTAATAATTCTATGGGTCTCACTTGTAGACTTTCTGCGCGAGGGCGCCCTCCGGTGTCGAGTATGAATGAAACAAGTTACATGAGAGTTTAACGCTCCATAATGCTCACATCTAGCCTAGAAATCTAGACGCACCCTAGCGGCAGCGAAAATTATTTCGCAGCCAGTGTGGTCTAGCAACTCTCCATAGGCTTTTGAGCTGTAAAAACCAAAAACTGGCCAGGCCAATCACATCGTGTATACTAGAGTCGGCGGGCGGGCTTAACACAATGACGGCACAGTTCATGACGTTCCTCCGCGTGATTTCCATAGGTGATTTTCCTGCTACTTGAAAACAATGAAGATGCAGCGGTCTTTCGAATCGGCTTTGGCCGTGACTCTGGAGGACTTGGAGTTAAGAGAACGTCACTTAAGTCATTCTTAAAAAAGGAAGATGTGTTCGGAGTTTTACCGACCTGATACGGCAAAAGTTTAATATATCAATTAGCTCCGCTGGTGGAAAAACGCATGGGACTCACTCATCCACAACCGTTCGTTGCTCTGGTTGGTTGTAGCGCTATCCTATTGCGTGCAGAGGGATTTTGAAAGGTAACCGTTTATCCCGCGGCCCGCCCCTCGGATTGAGGTATGTCAATGGAGAGTTCCTAGACCTAACATCTTGATGTAGGTCTGGCATGCTAGGCTAGCTCACATCGCCCTATTTTGGATAATAATAATACAACAAAAATATTCCTCTCTAAAGAGATTTGAAGTAAACATCCATAAGTTTTTATCCAAATGAGCACACTAAATGCCTCAAGGGATGTAAATATAACAAAACACAGAAAGGCGTCAGCAGTTGACAGGTTAATGTAACATTTCCAGTTACAGGACTAGCAAAATATTTGTGGCAGGATGATGGACGCGGAAGTGGGTGAACAGGTTGGTGGTGTCCCCTTTTGTGCTCACTGTTGATCGGCAAGTCCTGCAGACTGGGGTGTCTATCAAGTAATTTTCTCTAAATCCAAAGAACTACCATAATGGCGAGCTTACTTTATTTGAAGTGTGGGCAATTGGAGAGTCTTATCAGACGACATGATTTATGACAGATGGCAGCGTTAAGGTGTTGTACTTTGGTATGTCAAACAGGTACTGCCGCTGGATTATTTACTTGTCATATTATCATATGAGTACTATTCATTTAAAATATAACGGTTGTCGCAATATATTGTTGTCACACCCTTAAGATATCGATATTTCATGTTTTGAATATCACGGTTATCGTCAATACCGGTAGCGCATCACCCCTAGCTGGAGCCAATAAGAGCAGGGTCTCGGGATTTACTCTTACTTTTTCATTTCCTTCATTCTCTCTGTCTCTGTATTTTAGGCCTCCTCTTTCACACAACCTACTTCATTCTAAATTTGTATGTGAAAACTGTGTGGGCTTCCTCGTGAGGCTCTGTGCGTGTCTTTCCGTGCAGTCTTTACGCGACCTTGGCATTACCGCCACATCACACTCCCTCCAGACACACACACAGCATTGTCAGCTTTTCCTGCTCTTTAAAAATTTACAGTTTTCGTGCTTTGCTGCTTTTATTCTGTCCACGAACACAATATTCCGACTCTTTCAGGACAGAACAATTATGCACTCCAGTTTAAGAAATTTCTGAAATTCTTAAAATAATTTATAAATTTATTAATATTAATATTTTTGTATTGATAACAAGTAAAATATGTATAAAAGGAAAAAATACTAATCAAGATGGATTTCATTAAGACCTCTTTTTCGACAATATGAAACTTCATTTTTCCATTTTTTTGTACAATTTTGCAAAGTAAATGTATGTATGGTGTACAGAAAATATTTTTTTTGCAGTTAAATAAATGTAAAACAATCAAGCATCCCTCCATCTTTTGTAAACTGCAACAGTTCCTTAAAAATAAAAATTAAAGGCCTATAATGCCATACAGAAATATGAGTTGTACTGGCATCAAAGTATTCAATATATTGCTAAGGGCTGTAACATGACTTATGAATGATCACTGACAGCACTACTGGGACGGTAGCCCACTAAATCTAGAGTTTGGTCTCCACACAGATGGTCTAAATATTAAATGTAACATAATCTAGCTCTCCCGTTGACTGTTTACTTCTTGGTCAGGCCAATAAATGTTTAGGTTACTCCTGCCAAGAGCATCCCATAGGGCCATTTAGTAGCCCAATTGGCAACGCAGTCCAACAAAGCAATCCCAGTCCTCCGTGAAAATGCTTTTTCCTACCCACATAAATTCATCGAGCGGTGTGCTCTCTTTTGGTGTGCTAATGAACTAAAAGAGGAGAGGAGAAGTTATTTAGTGGAACTAATTTCCTGAAGATCAGAACAGACCAAACACACTGTAATTACAAATGGGACATAAACAGCTAAACTAACAGCTCTCCAGCAAATTCACTACAGCCCAGCAATGTGTTCAGAAAAGCTCAAGAAAGAATAAAAAAGGAGAGGAAAAAGCATATAAGAGAGAGAGGAGAGAGCAGTCATCCAATACCAAAACAGTACAGTAAATGTAGAAAATATCATGTTGTACCAAACTGATTCAAATAACAGTGTGTCAGTGTTGGGCAGACAGATAATAGGTCCCCGCAGGGGTGTCTTACAGTACCTCTTATTTTCTTGCTCGTCTGTCTGAGAACAGGCCGTACATGAAGGACAAAAGATGGTGCTTTTCCGCCGCTGCCTTTAACTTTATCTGCTCCTTTCATTTTGTGAGGCAAATATTCACCGCAGCAGCTTCTCCATTTACATTTTTTCTCCCTTCTCTGCTTACTTTCTGGGCACTATTGCATATTTTGAGCCCCAAACCTCAAATTTCTTCCGCATGGAATCATGTTACAATATCCTGCTCAGTTCTGCATTGATCGGTCCTTCTCCACTTGTGGTATTATACTCTCTAGAGCAATTAGTCAAGAGAAGTGAAGATGCCTACACACAGGGTCCAAAATAAACACCCGCCAAGTTGCAAATTCAAGTAAAAGTTTGCTTTGACGAGTACATTAAAGTAAGTTGAAACATAATGCATGCATTAAATCACAAGAACTATAGTCTGACCCTGCTTTTTTAATATCTGACATGAGTCAATCAAATTAAAGACATACAAATCATCTGCTAAAGATAAATGACCATCAGAAATACGGAAAAAAAATATGATGAGCAAAATCACAATGCAAATTTTCTCACTATTTGGAAGGTTAATTAAAAGTTTTACTTTTACTGGACTGAAAGCGAGAGAATGTGGCATAAGAACTCAAGAGTTCACCTTTGCCTTCCCACTTTTTTCATGTGGTCCATCTAACCCTTTAAATTAAGTTAAACCGAAGACATTCCTTAAGTCTAAACTCTTTTTCTTGTCACAGACTTCGAATTTCTTTCAAGGCTAATGATATAAATACCAGCTGTCTTGGAACGTCGCTTGGCTGATGAAATTAGAAGACCGGAAGTAAATGTGGTATAATTGCTTAGTTTATAGATGAGTGGGGGTGCATATAGATGTCAACGGGTGATTTAATGAGTTTCAGTCTTCAGCACATTAGTAAATGAGCATCATTTACTGTACCAGCATCCCACCAGAGCTCCCTCAAGTTTAATCTGTCTGAAGGATTCATTTCCAAAATGGCATGTTAGTAGTCTATGTAGTAGAGGGCTCACCTGCACACACTGCAGACGAAACACTGTGGATGATATGTGCGACCCAGTGCAGAGACCACCTCCCCTGAGATAAAGTCCCCACAGCTGTCACACTTCGTGCCGTACAGGCGCTGGTAGTCTGCTGTGCAGATGTACTCGCCACTCTTCTGGAAGAATCCGGAATGTGCCAAATCACAGCCACACACTGGCAGAAAGAGAGAGAGACAGGAATAGAAATCAACATGAGATCATTGCCATGGCATTTATAGTATAGAAAGTAACAGGGAGAAACAGAGGGAATGGGATTAAGGATGTTGCAAGCCAGGATTGAACTTGTCTTGCCAATATAAGCACCACGGCTCAACACTTGATATACCATATTTATAGGCCTTGATTTAACACAGACAAAAAAAAAAAAAATGTTTGTTTTTAAGACTAGATTGATTTTTGAACCTAGTTTCAAGTACAGAACCAATTAGACTTTATTAAGACCTCATTTTGTGGTGCACCAAGCCATAGTCAGATGTTCTTCCTTCTACTAAAGCTAAAGACACTAAGCTGAATATGATCATCAGGTCTTGTGACAACTTGACAAGTCACACACTTGTGGAGTTCATGCAGTGGAGTTCGAGTACCTCTGTCATTAAAGCAAATGAGGGGCAAACCAAATATTATAACATTCTGAAATGTACATTTTAGCTGACGTTTTCGATCATATTGTTGATTGATTGATTGCTGATTATAAAACTTTAATGAAAAAAAAAATTTAAAGTATTTTTACTATTGGTCCATTTTTGGGACCCCGCTGTCACTCTACTCTACACTGTAGAGAGAGAGAGAGAGAGAGAGAGAGAGAGAGAGAGAGAGAGAGAGAGAGAGAGAGAGAGAGAGAGAGAGAGAGAGAGAGAGAGAGAGAGAGAGAGAGAGAGAGAGAGAGAGAGAGAGAGAGAGAGAGAGAGAGAGAGAGAGAATTGATTGCATGATCTGAACTAAAGATGGCTTGGCTGCTTTGACGTGCTCACTTACAGGAAGTGCTGCATTAAGAGGAGCAGTGTGAAAATGATTTGTACTGTAATGCCTTACGTGCGGTAGCATGGACTGAAAACAAGGGGTATCATGAAAGTAAAAACAGGTTACGCAGTAAAAATGAAAAGTGTTGTAGCTATAACACACTATTATTATTACAGCACATACAAATAATTCAACCTACAAACCCAAACTGAAGATATAAAACCTCTACAATGTAGGAATTTTATATCTCTCAGTGTCATCCCGTTGGGGTTTTACCAATAATTAGGTGATAATGGGAAATAGATTACAGTTTGAGGTACATTTTCCTGAGGAACCATATATTAGCACCTTGAAATGAATCCATACATGCAAACTAACATGAAAGCAGTTATCAAAAAGTGAAAAAAACAAAGAAAAAAAAACAGTTAAATAAAAAACTTGATATGTGCGTGTGTGTGTGTGCCTTGAATATTTTTAACAAGATTTTAGGATAAAAAAACATTTTAAATATTAATATATAGAACGTCTGCCAAATTCAGAAAAAAGATAAATAAATAAATAATGTCAGCCAATATAACTCAGACACACACACACACACACACACACACATGATTTCCATTACACGAGAGTAGATGTTAAAACTTCATGCTGATTTGTACTCGGCTTTCGCCAAGATAAGCAAAACTAAGACGTAGCTTTACAGTAAACTATGCTTCTCCATCCATTTACGCTTCTTTCCATATGGTGGTGTGACTCCCCTTCTGTCCGGCGTTAACGGCTGCAGTGTACTTGGCGCGTCAGCACACGCGACGGCTGCAACTACAGGACCAGCACGACAACCGTCTGGATTGAGCAGAGTAGGGGACATCTCTAGGGTCTTCAAGTGGGCACCTTCCGTCCTCAGTGTTTCGTCGACTAGCCCACGACACCTCAAGAGGGCTCGACAGTGACTCTGGCGTCCCAGAGTCACCCCCCTCCGTCCCCCACTCAACTCAGTCCAGCTTACTGACCTCTACATCCCTCCTGCTGCTGAGACCTAACCACAATCTCACAATCTCTCCGCAACCCGACCATACGCGCCAACCCGTTTGACTAAGGCTGTCGAGCCCCACTGGTGCGTTAATATGCAGTTTCAGTGGACAACGGTTCCGTATGGCATACCACCTACCGCAAAACACAATATCTGCCCAACCACCCGTCATTCACGCAATATCCACAGGAACGTATACAAATAAACCAACATACTCTTCAAGTTTTCAAGAATTCTACGAAACCGTAGCGTGGCGGCCTGCACACAGCCAGCTAGAATCTTTCCGTCTCAACCACAGCCAGTTGCTGCTCCTTTCTGCTGCTTCAGATAAGTTCTTTACTGTGCGACGCTACTCTTGGCCGCTGAATCCGATGTCTCTGAGGAACCGGGTTGTAGAGTGTGCCACAAAACCTCGACAACCCACTTCCACTGGATAAACCTGGACTCTCCATCCTCACTGTTCTGCTTCAGTGGCCAGATGAGCATACCGCAGTTTCTTCCTCTCATATGCCTCATCTATCGCATCCTCCCATGGCACTGTTAACTCTATCAGTTGAACAATGCGTGCTGATCCAGACCACAAAACAATATCTGGTCGTAGGTTAGTGGTGGCAATCTCAGGTGGAAAAATAAGCCGTTGATCAAGATCAGCCAGCATCTTCCAGTCCCTAGCAGCTTCCAGTTGTCCTGGGCGAGAATTGGTGTTAACACCTTTTCTTGGTGGTTGCTCGCCTGGGCGGAGGAATATTGTCTTCTGCGTGTAATGTCTTGCTAGAACAGGTGGCAACTTATTGGTCATGTTACGCTTGCCTTCTAATGCTAAAGCCATACATCGCAGTACTTGGTCATGGCGCCAAGTAAACCGACCTTGGCTTAGAGCCACCTTACATCCTGTCAAAATGTGCCTTAATGTGGCAGGTGATGAACACAAAGGACAAGATGGATCCTCTCCTACCCAGAGGTTTAGGTTCTGCGGTGATGGGAGAACATCATATGTTGACCTAATAAGGAAACTGATCCTACTCTCTTCCATTGACCAAAGGTCTTGCCAGCCCATCTTACGTTGTTCCACACTCTCTCATCTCATCCACTCTCCCTGCTTGGCCTGGGAAAGGGCCTTTATACACCTCATCCTCTCCTCCTGCTTACGCACCTCGTTGACTACCAGCTTCCTCCTTTGAGCTGGGCCTGCCTTGTGCCATTTAGGAGGAGCTAAACTGAGCCCAAAACCCCCTCTTCCATGCTGTACCTGTCCCACGATATCCCCAATTTGAAGGGCAGCCTTTGCCTCTACTACAGATTTCTTTGCTGACCACTTTCTACCAGTTTTTAACACAGGGGCTGCCTCCCTTACACATTTGTCGCGTGACTCTACTAAGGTCATTTCCAGTCTGACCTTGGCACACTTAAACTCCTCGGTTAACGCAGAGACTGGCAGCTGCAATATTCCTTTACTATAAAGTCCCACTCTGCTGAGGCAGCGTGGAACTCCCAACCATTTCCTGATGTATGAACTTATCAACGCTTCCAGCTTATCCACTGTTGTCAAAGAAACGTCGTACACGGTCAGTGGCCACAGCAACCTCGGCAGTAGACCAAACTGAAAGCACCAGAGTTTTAGCTTGCCAGGTAGAACACAGCTGTTTATGCTCTTCAACCCTTCCACTGCTTGTTGTCTAACTTCTCCCACCCGAGCTGTGTCCTTTAGATCCCCATCGTACCATCTCCCAAGACTCTTCACTGGCTTCTCAGAAACTGTTGGTATTGCCTCACCATTAATGAAGAATGTTTTATCTACTACCTTTCCTTTAACTCTCGAGATGCTCCTTGATTTAGAGGGCTTAAATTGCATTCGTGCCCATTCAATATTATCTGTTAACTTCCCCAATAACCGATTAGTGCAGGCTACTGTTGTAGTCATGGTTGTCATGTCATCCATGTATGCTCTGATTGGTGGTAGTTGCATCCCAGAAGCCAAGCGCTCTCCTCCTACTACCCATCTTGATGCCCTAATGATTACTTCCATCGCCATGGTAAAAGTCAGTGGAGAAATGGTGCATCCTGCCATTATTCCAACCTCTAGGCATTGCCATGCAGTGCTGAATTTTGGAGTTGAGAAACTGAATTGCAAATCTCCAAAATAGGCTTTCACTAAATTTGTTATTGACATTGGTACTCTGAAAAAATCAAATGCTGCCCAAAGAAGCTCATGTGGCACTGAACCATATGCATTAGCCAAATCCAGGAATGTCACATGGAGTTCCTTCCTCTCCTTTTTAGCTGACTGAATTCGTTGCCAGATAACATTGATGTGTTCTAAGCATCCTGAGAACCCTGGAATGCCCGCTTTTTGAACTGAGGTGTCAATGAAGCCATTCTTTAACAGGTAGGTGGACAATCTCTGGGCAATAATGCTGAAGAAAATCTTACCCTCAACGTTTAATAGTGAAATAGGACGAAACTGACTGATGCTTGTAGCATCTTTTTCTTTAGGTATAAAGACTCCACCTGCTCTGGGCCATGCTCTGGGTACAACCTGTTTTTCCCATGCCACTTTTATCAATTTCCACAGAATTCGCAGAACTCCTGAAGCACTCTTGTACACTCTGTACGGAACTCCATTAGGCCCTGGAGATGATGAATCCCTTGCCTTTCTCATAGCCTGCTCTACCTCTTTCCACTTAGGTGCACAGACCTCCATTTGGTATTCTGGTGGGTTGATAGGTGGTATGTCTGATGGAATTGACATAGGCTCATGCCTTTTTGCATCTGTATGCGTGTCCTCCAAATATCTCTCTAGCTCAATCCTAGATGTTTTTAAAGTGCCATTCTTCTCACTGGTGAATAACTTCTTTACGAATTTGAATGGGTCTTTATAGAAATTAGCCCTCGCACGTTCCTTCTTTTTGTAGTTTTTCCGTAGGCGCTCAGCTCTGCGTAATGTTGCCAGCTTATCTTTTATGGCCCTTTGTAAGAGATTGAGTCCCTCCTTCTGACTTTGTTCTGCTCTTTTCCATTGCTTCCTCAGCTGTCTCCTTTCTCTAACTAACCCTTCAATTTTCTGCTGCCGTCTAGACATTCCAGTAGTTTGTACTTTTTCCTTCCTTTTTTCCACACCAAACCTCTCGCTTCCATATGCGTAAATGATGTCCCCAAATTTATCC